ATATATATATATATATATATATATATATATATATAACATACATTGCTTAATAAATGATGGCAAGTCATCCATGTGCTTCCAAAATCAAAGCAATTAAAAAAAATAAGTTCTGCCACATTTTTTCACCAAGTATACAACGAACATATTGAACATAATTTGATCAATTAAAAAGAACATTATAAAGACAAACTCTGAAACTGTCACTGAAGTTAACGTAAATTTTCGTGTTTCAGGATCAGTTGCAAGTGGGTTTTAAAATGGATGTTTATTCAAGCTAAGTTCTTGCCAAAAATAAGTTACCTTACTTTCCATTTACTAAATACAATAAAATTTTTACTTGTAAGTGCATTATCTAAATAACAGCATATCAAGAATAAGCTCAACAGAATTTAAGAATAATAAGCAAAATAGTAACTGTACTTTTCATACTATTACTGTTTTGGGGGATTATATTATTTTTAAAAGAAAACAGAAAAATGCTTAGCACATAGTAAAATACTGAAGACTAAAAATAAACTGAAAAATAGAATGCATTTGCCTTTCTGTTATGAATCAAAAGCACAGTTGTACTTTTAGTTCACAAAAGTTTAACAACCACCAAGACCAGGTTTCCCAAGCAAATGAAGAATGAAACAGAAAGGTGGAGATTTCATCTCAATAATGCTGTCAATGATCCACATTTTACTCAACTAAACACATTATTTAGTTGAGAGCAAAGGCTTTTGTTTGAATTGCAAAGGTATGAGCTATGAAAACTTGGGCTACATCATCAGTTAGCTTTTCTAAAGTGTGAATTTTGGAAATAATTCCAGCAACTCTACAAATCTCCTAGAGTCTGCCAAAGAGTAACTATAGAAGCTTGATTTGAATGTCTCTAGAGTCCATGTACACAAAACAAAAAGTAAGAGGGTAAGAGAGAGTATTATTTACAAACTTGTATTTCTACAAAGCTGCTTAACCTACTATAATGAAAACAACAGGACTTAGGTACAACACTTTAAAATCTAATTCTCATGAAGAACACTCTAAGAAACATCACTTTAATTTTTTTTCACAAATAACTGCAATAAGGCAATTCAGGAAAACTATAAATAAAATGAAGGCTTTATGTGCAATGAAATCTCAATCTTTAAATTAGACCCTGCTGTATGGAACTGAAAGAATACAACTGTCAACTTTTACCTTAGATAAATTCATTTATCAAAAGAAGGAAATTACAGAGAAATCCTGAATTCTATTTTTTTTTTATTTTTTAACATCAGAGAAATCAAAGAAATATGTTTAATCAAAGAAAATATGTTTTGGCACTTCTGTAAAAATTAAGGGTCATATATTTAAAATAAAAATAGGAAATTACCTACTTATGACAGAAACAAAAGCAGAACAAAAAGGATCCTATTTATGTCAGACGTCAAAACAGACTGTACCTTTGTAAATGATCCCTTGTCCCCTGACAGCAATATTGAGGAGATGAAACATATCAATTACTATTACTAATTACATTAAGGGGAATGTGTTTCATTTGCCTTTATTTCATTTTAGGTCAGCTGTTTACTTGTGGTTAAAACTGTATACTTCCTTTGAATACCTAATGACAGAAAAGTTTTCCAAAGCCACTTTTGGCAAACTGTGTGATTCATTCCAATTACTTTGAGGGTATTCTCTTTTGGAATATGGACTTCTTTGCTCAGTTAAGAGGCTAACACCCTATATTAGTTTATTTATAAGCATATCGCTTTGCCAACAGTCTTGATAGTAGCTGTTTTAAATATTCAAGAATATAGAGCTAACTTCAGCTGATGAGCAAATGAAGCTTAAGTGACAGCACAGAGCATATAAAGTGTTTGCATAAAGTATCTATAAAAGTGTTACTTGCTATGTCCACTCAAAAGCAGATTACACAATTGAGAATGCAAATGCTACCTGGCCACAGGACAGAAGTACCATTAGGATACAAACCGAGATATAAATATTCTGCAGACAGATCTCTTCACACTCCTTTGCATTACCTGTTGCTATTTTCTAGAGAAATGTCTAATCTCAATTTATTTTTGGGTGTTTATAAGTAATCTGTAAAAAGTGCTACTATTTTAGCTAGAATCTTCCTTGTTTACAAAACTGATAAAAGCACCACAACAATACAAAAATAAGCTTCTAACTCCAGGTAACACAATAATAGAACAGACATAAACACTCGATTTTGTAAAATGTTGGTTTAAAATAAATAAATAATTCAAATGCACATATATCAAAGGACATATTTTCAAAGCCATTTAATGTAAATATAGTTCAAACCAGCGTTTTCTTAGATGGCATTTATTATTAGATATAAACGCATATTAAGACTGTTTCTCCTTATCCACACAGCTACAATAAGGTAATATATAGAGAAAATATTTATTTGAAAAACTAATTTCAATAATCATAAAAGCAATAAAGAATTAATACCTCTTTTTGTAACATCATCAATAAGGCTATAAAATAACATTTTCCTTTGCCTCAATTCTTCTCAGATTCCACATTCCACACACAAAGCATATTTAATAGAAACTAGATTGACAGTCATAACTGTGTTTCTTGAGATGGGTTCTGACAGTAAGAAATACATAATGATTTATTATCTGAGGTTGCTGTAGCATGAGACACAGCCCTTACCAAAAGGTCTTATTTGCTGTGGGGCAAACTTTGGTGGATATACAAAGTAAACTTTCTGAGGATTGTGTATCACACAAGGAAAACTTTCAAAAATAAATTTCATTTTTGCTTAAGTTCCACCTCAGAATATATGTATATTTTACTGTTTCTACATTTCACTGAGAAACAATTACGTCATATATTTTGTCACTGAGAAACAATTATGTCACATAATTTTTATATTCTCAATATATCATAACACATGCTGAAATAGTCTTGCACACAGTATACCGATCATGAATACTTTCATTACTTGGCTTAAATGATAAATGGCTCATGCAATGTATTTTTGTTTACAAACTTTTAATACCAAACAGGAAGAATGCAAATAGTATTTGCATATCATTATAGATCACTAATTGTTATAGATATCAATTGTAATAGATATAAAATATTGAGAGTTCTACATGACATTTGCATATCAGTAAATATTTTTAAACCAGCTTTTTCATCAAAGTAGTATTTCAATATCTCAGACTTAGTACTACATTTGCATGAATCAGCATCTGCTTATCTGTAAAATCCTGCATTGTAAATAACATAGCTAAAACTTTTATGGTATTCAGTTTGCATAGACACCAGTAGTAACTTTAGAAACTTTTGTTCTGGATGCAATTATCCACTTAGTTGCCGCAAAAGAAAATAATTTCAGGTGAAAACTAACCATCTAAACAATACATACAGATTTATTCTGGGAACAAAAAGTAGCATGAATTAGAGATGTTGAGGGCAAAGAGACATGCAAAACACTGCCTACTTTGAACAGTTCCTTCAGTAGTTTACCGAACCTTAAGTCTAAACTTGCAAAATACAGTGGTACACCTCTTGCGGATGGCCTTTGCTAAATTAATGGTGCATAAATTAACATTAAGTTCCTCCTGTTACAATTTTAATAGTAACTTTAAAAACCAGAAGACAAAACTTTACCGAAGATAATCTGACTCAGAGTTACTAGCCCTCCCTTGGATATTTAAATACATTTGGGATGCATCTTACCTGTTTGCTGTACTTGTTATTAGTTTGACAGCTGTACTCAGAGCAGTGATCTGATCCAATTGAAATGTTGTCTCCTGCTCCCACAAATGTGTTGGCTGGTGGTAGATCTTGTACGGCCTGGTGTTTTTTTCCTGCAGTTGGTGACTGGGGATGAAGCTGGACAGTAGGCAATGGGGAACTCGATTTGTAATGCCTTGCCAGGTCAGGACTGCCAGGCCCACCATTAACAGATCTGTATCGCCCCATGCTTGGGCTGTCTGACAGCTTCTCATTGACACTATCATACCTCTGTCCATTTGGTTTAGAAGCCTCTACAGTGACAATGCTGCTGTAGAGAGGCTGCTTAGATTTTTTGTTTTTCTTGTCCTTTTTAGGCTTTTTAGATTTGTCATGCTGTTGCGGTGTAAAAAAGTCTTCGTGATCTTTTTTGCCGGCTTCATAGCCATTTTTATTTTTGGACCTGCAGTACCTTGCCATCACTACAATTAAGATGATTAGAATCACTGTCATAATGCCAGCAACCACGCCGATGACAATACTGAGTCTCTGTTTGCTAATTTCATAGCTTGGGTCACCAGCTATATCCTGGGTGAGTGGAGTGTGCAAACTTCTAGCTATCTGGGAGTCAATCACAGTTGCATTAGAAACACTTTCATTGACAAACACATGCACCAGAGCCGTGGTGGACTGGGAAGGCTGCCCACTGTCATTCACTTGCACCACCAACCTGTGCAAGCCATAATGCTTTTGGGTGAGTTTTCCCACTAAGGAAACCACACCACTAGTGGGATCAATCTCAAACAGCTTGAAGGGATTCCCTCCCACAATGCTGTAGTTCAGGTCTGCATTGATGCCATCATCACTGTCTGTTGCCAACACTGTAGCTACTACTGTCCTGACATTACTTGAAGGTGGCAGTAAAGTGTAGGAAATGTTTCTGGGAAGGGTAACTGTGGGAGCATTGTCATTTTCATCCATCACAAAAAGTGAGACTGTAGCTGTGGCAGATCTGGGAGGATCTCCCCTGTCCACAGCCTTGACTCTGAAAGTGTATGTGGTCTGATGTTCCCGGTCAAAAGACATTGTGGAGTAAATGGTCCCCGTGTCATTTTCAATAGAAAAAATGTTATTGTTCTCCTCTATATACAGGCTCATCTCTGCATTCCGCCCCTTGTCAGCATCCATCACGGTGACCATCCCCACAGGGCTGTTGGGCTGCAAGTTTTCTTTCACATAAAAGGTGAAGACGTCCTGCATAAACTTAGGGTCATTGTCATTCTTATCAGCCACCTGCACAATCACCGTGGTGCTGCCCTGCAGCACGGGGATGCCTTTGTCTTTGGCGTTAACTTTAAACTCATACCTGTCAGTCTGCTCGCGGTCCAGCACCGTATTGACCAGGATGTCCCCAGAATCGGGATCAATGGCAAAGATCCCCATCACAGAGGAGTCCAGCGAGTAGGCGATCTCGGCGTTCTTTCCGCTGTCGGCGTCTGTCGCCAGCACCGTGGCCACTCTCTCGCCCGGGATGTTGTTTTCAGGGAAGTAAACCTCCACCACCGACTGGTCGAACACGGGCGGGTTGTCGTTGGTGTCTCCCACCTTGACGATCAGGGAGTTGTTGCTGGAGAGGCTGGGGCTGCCTGAGTCCACCGCCACGATGACCACGTTGAACTCCCGGGTGGTCTCATAATCCAGAGGGGTCGAAGTGTGCAGGAAGTACTTCTTCTTGTTCTGATCACCCTCGGTGTCGCTGGCCGGCTTGAGCTGGAAGGGCACGTCGCCCACCACGGTGCAGGTGACCACCCCGTTCTCGCCTTGGTCTCGGTCGGACACCTGCACCAGTGCTATGGGGGTGTCGACCAGCACGTCTTCGGCCACGTTGGCCACCCCGTCCTTGAGAGGGATGCGCCCGATCTTGCGGATTTCAATGGACGGCACGTTGTCGTTCTCGTCCTTGATGTTGAGGACCACGGTGGCCTTGTCAGTCTTAGGGGGCTGCCCGCGATCGCGGGCCATGACCGTGAAGCGCAGCTGGTTCACCTCCTCGCGGTCGATGCGGTGCAGGACGCTGAGCCAGCCAGACGTCTCGTCCAGCCGCAGCAGCCGCCTCACCGACTCCGTGGCCGCCCCGAACACGTACTCGATCTGCCCGTTGACCCCCACGTCCAAGTCGGCTGCGCGCAGTTGCAGGATGGGGGTCCCCGGGGCGCTGTTCTCCGCCAAGTCGGCCTCGTACACGCTCTTCTCGAAGCGGGGGCTGTTGTCGTTCACGTCAGTGATGAGGACCCTCAGGATGGCCTGCGAGGAGCGAGGAGGGTCGCCGCCGTCGCGCACCCGCAGGGTCAGCTCATAGGAGTCGCGCTGTTCGCGGTCCAGCGCCCCCTTCACGATCAGCTGCGGCTGCTTCTCGCCGTCCGGGGTGTCCGCCACCTGCAGCTCGAACACGCTGCTGCGGCCGCCGGGGTTGGCGCCGCCGCCGCCCTCGGGCGCGTCCGGCCGCCGCTTGGAGCCTCCGGAGCCGCCGCCGCTCGCGCCGTTCCCGCCGCCCCCGGGGTAGGGGGCGCTGTCGGCCGCCCCGGCGCGCCGGCCCTCGCTGCCGCCGCCTCCGGGTTCCTGGAGCAGCTCGTAGCGCTCGATGCCGTTGCGGCCGAAGTCCCGGTCGGTGGCGGTGGGCAGCAGGTAGAGCGTGCCCACCGGCCGGTTCTCCTCCACCGTGAGCGTGAGCACTGGCGACGGGAAGGTGGGCGTGTTGTCGTTGATGTCCAGCACGATGACCCGACCCTCGAACAGGTCCACCCAGCTCTGCGAGGGCCCGATCACCGACACCTCGAAGTCCAGGAAGCACTCGTTCTCGTCGAAGATCATCTGACACTGAGGCAGCTTCTCGCGGTCGATGCGCCGCTCGCTCGTGCTCAGCTCGCCGGTGAGGTTGTCGATCTTCAGGTACTCGGAACCGGACTCCAGGCTGAAAGTCACCTCACCCGATCCCGTCACGATGCCCAGGTCCGAAGCCACGTTGCCGATACGGACGTCGGCGGGGCCCTCCTCGGCCAGCCGGTACCGGAGGAGCTGCTTGGCGGCCGCCAGGCTGAGCGACAGCGGCAGGAGGAGGCAGCAGCCCAAGCACCAGCCGCGCGTCCATCCCGTGGTCCGCATCCTCAGCATCTTCTCCTGCTGCTGCTGCTACTGCTCCTTCTAACCACAGCCCCCTCGGCGCCCCCCTCCTCCGGGGCCGGCCGCCTGCCCTCCCCCCAGTCCTCTCCCCTCTCCCGGAAAGGAAGGAGCGAGAGGGAAGGGAGGGAGGGGGCAGAAGCGGCGTGGAGAGTCGGCCGGGGATGGGTATGGGAGGGCAGCGATAGATGCTTCTTTCTTTTCCTCCTGCTTCTTCCGAAAGTTATTGTTTCATAATTCATGCAATGGGTGCTAATCGCCCGCTCGCCGGCCGCCGTTCAGTCGCAGTACTCACAGTTCACGGGACACTGCGCGCTGCGGGTTCGGCGCCCCCCCCCCCCCCAGAGTCATCCCCGCAGCGGGCGGAGAATCCCCGGTTCCAGTCCCCGCTCGGTCGGAAGGGGCCGGAACCGCTCTGGCAGACGGACAGTGGGGCTGGGAAGAGGTGGGGAATGAGCCTCCAGCCTCCCCCGCCTGCCAGCCCGCTGGTCTTTGCTGCTGCTACTCGAGTTGAGTCCGATTCACGTTCCAAGCGCTCACTCCAAACCCAGGCTCCGCTCCGGCTCTGGCCGCCCAGGCAAACGTGAGTCGCTTCCTGCGCCAGGCGCTGGGGCCAGCAACAAGCCAGTCTCAACTCCGACTCTGCTCAGGCAGCGGGGGAGCTAGTCAACAGATCGAGAATGAAAAATCCCCTGGCACGTCGCTCCGGGCACGATGCAGTGGAGACTACTCGCGTCACAGCGCGGGCCGCGTCCGGGTTCCCCCGGCGCGCCAAAGAGAAGCTCGAGCCATCTTCAGAGACGCCCAGAGAGTCAGTCCCTCCTCACCCCGGAGAGTGCGGGTTTCTCTTTCTTCTTAACAACTCTGCGCAAGGTCATTAGTCACGAAGCCGCCGCCTGAAACCGCAGCAGCCTTTCGCCCGCGGGGGCGAAGGCTTGAACCGTGCGCCCCGTGCGGTGCCCAAGTTTGGGTTCGCAGCCGCAGAGTCCGTGCCTTTTCTCACCTGCATTCGGCCCGCATGTCGGAGCACTGGGATCTGCAGCGCTGTGCGCGATTCTGGGAGGAGATTGCAGCCTCTCTCTCTCCCCGCTCTCTCTCGATCCCTCCCCTCCCTCCCTCCCTTTCTCTCTCCTCCCTCCTCTCTCTCCTCCCTCCTCTCCTTTCCCCTTTCCCCCTCTCCCACTCGCTCTCCTGCACGCTCTCTCTCCTTCCTTTTACTCCCAATGCAGGGAACTCGAACTGAACTTGATCCCTTTGCAGTTCAAAGGTGAGCAAACCGGGCTCCGAGCACAGGCGACGTTAGCTGGCGAAAGCGCCCGGCCGGGCGTCCCCAATGACAATTAACAAAGATACCCAATTCTGTCTGGGTTTCCGAAGAAAAACCAAAAGCTTTGGGGCGGGGGTGGAGGGGGAGGTGGAGTCAGAGCCAGCTGCCAAGTAGCTTAAAAAAAAAAATCCAGTTTGCCAAGGGGAGAAAAAGTGCCAGTTGGTTGTGGCCTCGGAGTGTCCTGGCACGGCTGGTGAATTACGCAGTTGTCTCGTCCCTTTTCGCGTCTGAGAGAGTCTGGTGCGGGCGCTCCCGCCGCCCCTCGGGCTGCAGCGACTCGGAGACACTGAACCGCAAGTGGGAAGCTCCCCTTCGCTACCCGCGAGCAGGAAACCCGCAAGTTGCCCAAAGTGGTGGTTGCTGCTGGGAGCTCGCCTCGCTCCAGGCTCAGGCTTGTCCCTGACGCTGCTGCTGCAGCGGTGGCGGCAGTAACAGCGGAGCCGCCGAAACTACACACTGGGAGACTGCGAGGGAGGAGGGCCTGGGGTAAGGACGCGGGAGGGAGCGTCAGTCCGCCGCCGCGCTCGGGAATGCCCAGCCTCAGCTCCAGGGGCCGCTCAAAGTGTGCTCAATCTGAGCCAGTCCTCTTTAAGCCAAAGTCCGTTCCGCCCCAACCCCCAACCCCCAACCCCCAACCCCCAACCCCCGCCCCCAGCGAGTACAGCGGTCTTCTTCTCTGGGGGACTTGTTTTCCCTCCCTCGGGCTGGTAAAATTCCTCTTCCCTTGACTAATGCTCAGTTCACGCGTGAGAGCTTTTGGAGCTGGTGTCAGGATGGGTTTCTCCTTCTCTCACCCCCTCAGACGACGTTCTCTTTCCCCCAGAAAGCGTCTGCGGTTCGCGATTTAGCATCTTGGTTAGGAGCTGGTTACCGGGGTCTTGGGGAACTCACGTCAGCCCAGAAAGAAGCCACACTGTTCTGAAAAATCAAGACGGACTGCAGTCGTGAAGAGAGAACATCAAACTCCAGAGAGCGGGAGAAAGATCCTTTTTTGGGAGCTCAGACTTTGGATGGTTGCTGGGGGATAGGGGGTGGAGGGAGAAGGATGCCTGTCCTTATTTAAATGCCTGACATTCCTGTCGTCGTGGTTGCTTATGGGGGGTAGACCGTGTGTGCTCGCGCCTGGGGAATAAACACATGTTGGAAACCTCGATATTATTTTCTGAGCAGAAACCTGCAGCCTTTAGTAACTGGCAAAGTGTAGCGTCACCTATCTGGATAAAAGGGAAATAAACTTTAATGGCAACTTTTGTGTACCAAAGTGTCCCCAGTTCCCTATCTCTCCTTTTGACTTTGTACCACTATTTCCTCACAGGAGGCTTCCCCAATTTTCAGTTACGACCACCGCAGCCGCCCTCATCAGATCTGAGGTCTGTTTTCTGAACTGAGCCATTTACTCATTTATTTCAGTGACTGTCAATGAAGGGGCCAGGCTAGGTTGACAAGATTGAGACGGACTGGAGGTTTTGGGGGAGAATTTTTACCATCTCAAATGAGAGAAAGGGCTGCTTCTGGGAGTTGGTTAGTCTTCAATTCGCCTGACGTATCTATAAGCATTTAAGGGCCTCCCCTTAAAGAAAAATGTAAAACTGGTTAAAAAAAAACAAAACAAAAAAATATCTGTCCAGTGCGGGTATTCTGTACGAGGCCTGGGTGAGAAGACAGAATGATTTAAACAAGACAAACACCAATAAAGTCAAGGAGCAGATGTAGCGCGCGGTTGTTTGGGCGGGCGCAGGAACAGGAATGAGGAGGGAGAGGCGGCAGAGATTTCCAGGCTTTCCCTACGGGGGATCGTAGAAGCGCGGCGGATGGAAGTGTGTATAAGTGTGTGCCAGGGAGTTGGGGAGTATTTTCCAGTCTGTGAAAGCAGCATCACTCCGGGGGTGGTGGCTCCTCCTCCGAGGCCAGGGCAGGGAACCCGGCCTTCCCGCTAACCCTCCCTCGGCAGGAACCCGAGCGTCTCAGCGCTGTATCTGCAGCATCAGCGAGAAAAGCCCCGCGCGCAGGCTCAGTGCGTACCACCGCAGTCTCGAGCCGGGGGCGGTGGTGGGCTCCGCAGCGCCTTCGCGGCTGGCTAAGTGGCAGAAAAGCCAAGTCCCTCTTACATTGGGCAAGAACTCGGGTTTATCCAAACGCCTGCCTCCCTCCAAGCCTCCGACCCTGCTCTCCCTTTTTCCCAGGTTCGAGGCAAAAGGGAGAAGCCGTCTCCACTCCGCGGCGGTGCGCCTTGCATTCCGCTGCGCGGCAATATGGTGCAGTGCACTCACTCCCCTCGCCGCCTTACTAAGATTTTGCAAACTTCAGGCAGCCGCGTGGGCAGAAACGCTGTGCACTCCCTCTTCCCTCTCCAGACCATAAACCTGAATAAGCCTCTCGGCATCTCCAAGCATTTATTTGCCCGCGGCTCTGGCCCGCACTCTCCAGGCGCACACTTGCCGGGGGCGGGAAGGGGGTGCGAAGGAGTGGGCGGCTTTTCCCCCGCGCGCTGCACATTTCTTCCCGGACGAATAGGGAGGTGCAGCGCGTCCTTCACAGTGGAGTGGTTTCCTCTTGGCGAGCGGGAGGAAGTCTCCAGCCCGCCCTCCTCACTCTCATTCCTACCAACTTCGCCGCGGAGCCCAGCCGGCGTGGGAAATGGGTCCGACGTGTGTTGCATGGAGAGCAGCGAGGACAGACTGCGGGGGCCAGGAAGCCTGCTGGCTGTGCTCCCGCCCCCATCAGTCCCGGGCTCCGACCTTTCTGCCAGAGGAGCAAAGAAGTGGCGGCGGCTTTGCCCAACAGCGCTGTTCTGGGCAAGCAAACGGAATGGGCGGGGTAGGGGTACAGGGGAGGTGAGAGGAGCCCTCGGGGCGCCCTGGCGGCGGCTGGAGCTCCCAGTCCTCTTCCGCCCCCTGTCCTCTTCCGCCCCCTGTCTAGGGGCTGACACTCTCCTCTCGCCGGCAAGGAGGATGAATGGAAGAGAGAAGCAGTTTCCCCCACCCCCGCCCCATTTCCGCAGTCTTAGAGCCAGTGTCACAAGTGCTCAGCAATTTCATTAAATGGAACCGCGAGACTTAATCCCCCCGGGTACCAGACCTCACCGAGGGAATGTGATATCCGGCTTCGCTCTCACCCACCAACCCCGCCCGGCTTCTCAGACCCGAGGCTGCATTTATCTTCTCAACCTAAGAGGAAAAGGTTCAGAAGGAAATGGGATCGAAAGTGTAACCGGCTGCAATAAATCGAAGAGCCAGTTGCTGCCGCCGCTGCTGGTGCTGCTGCGTTGGCGGCCAACTGGAGAGAGAAAATGAGATCAGTGTCCTAAAGCTTGCATTGCTCAGAGTCATCGGACGTCACCGCATGTAGGAAACAAAATGTTTGAGGGAATGTTGAAATGGAGATTGCTGTTTTTTCTTTAGTGGCTTTTTAAAAAAGAGCAATAAAAGGAAATGTCCCTTTGCAACCAAGATGTAAAAACTGAAATTGATTAAAATACAAATACCATCCCGTTCTAATATGCGTTTAATAAAACCTTGACTAACAATTCATTTTCTGTGCCAAATATCTTATCCTAAACTTGAAATATTCGGTAGGTTTTGTTTTGTTTTGTTTTTTTGTTTAAAATTTACCTACTCGCCTCGCTTGCTTAAACCTGTTTTGCCGTTAAGAAATTTCAGTGGCTGAACAGAAAAATAGCATTCAGGGTCCCTGGTGCAGTTCAAGCCTCGAGTAAAGACAGTAAGAGAAGTAACTACAACAAAAGTTTATGGTTAAGAATACAAAGTAGGTGCTGGAGATATGATCTCAGGGGGACTTTCATTTATAATAGACGCTGTATTCACAGTAACACGAGAAAAAGGTTAAATTCAGTAAACATGATAGCCAGTTCTGTAAAGAAATATAAAGCAGTTCGACAGAAAGGGAGAAAGTAACTCAATAACTCCACCAAGGGACAAACAGAGGAAATGACACTCGGATATCTCTCAATCCATTGACCTTTCATCTTTTTTAAAAGGGTCTTCTATCTGTAGACGTGTTTTCTAAGCCTTTATAATTAACCATCTCTCTAATCGCTTTTGCTAAATTAGATATGCCAGTCTTCCTTTTCTAAATAATTGCTACAAACGGTTGTCCTTTAAACATATATTACTTGAAAGAGTAAACATATCTATGGGTAACTATTCCAAGTATAATTCTGATATTTGAGACTGAGAAAATTTAGACATATTTTTCAGCCTGAAATCCATGCTTGTAGTATTAAAATGTTTAGTAGACTGAAATGACTAAATTATTCATTGCAATAACAGCCTTTTTGAAAGACATTAAAACTCAGCAGTTTAAATAAGGAAACCACAGATTTCCTTTTAAGCAGGTAATAACTGCTTGCATCAGTGGTTATTTAATTGGTCTCTAGCCAAGACAGAATAAGTTGTGCTGTTTAAATCAAGAAATCATATGCAAAGCTATATTTTACAATGTATCAATGAAAGAAGCACACAGAAACTAAGCTAAGTTGATTCATACTACCTAGTGGATAACTATAAACATTTCCACAAGGCCAGTATGAAAACCCCTATTACAAAATAGAAGAAACTTTCAAAAATAGATTTTAAGTGTTTATTAACTCACATGCTGTCTGGTTTTCAGATTCAACAGAGTGTTTTAGGTTTTAAAATAACACAGAATAAATGATTTTCACTTTTAAGTTTAGCACATATTGACCGTTATTGGTTTTTTTTTCATTTTCTAAAGTTTTAAATGCCAAAATATATGCAATATAGCAGAGATTTACAAGTTATGACACAAAGAACCAGTCAGTTAGTATAACTGCCATTTGTCTTTTATTTACAAGATCATTAGTTTACGAATTTTTTTCAACTTTATGTTAGTTTTCATACATTTTCAAAAATTTAAGTTGGGGGAACACAGTATTTTATAAAATCTGAATTAGTTCTGGGAAAAAGGCCCTTGATAGGTTAAAAGCAATACATCCTATTATTTTGGGCAATCTGAAGCTATCTCCTTCCACTTTTGATGGTAAAATCAGATCTACCAATGCCCTTTACAGTATGAACTTGGGAGATTTGCATATTTTTACTATCATGGCAGAATCTATAAAATACTGCTGTGAATAATGACCTCTAAGCTAGATAATATGTTAAGGATTTGGGGGAGAAATATCGTTATAATTACTTGTACAAATTGAATACCCAAATAAATGACCTTGCTTATAACAAGAATGGTTGAAAATTATGAATTAGCTTTATAAGTTTTAGCCTCTGGCTATGTTGACCTATCTAGGTCACTTCTCATGGTCCTTCTGAATAACAGGTGGTACAAAACTTTATTCGAACAAATTTGATGACTGTAATTAGGAAATACATGATGTGGGATGTTTCTACAGTGAAAAATATAAGAAATTTGGCTACTCCAGCAGCAATGAATTTTCTAGCGACAGATGCTGATACTTACAGGGCAGTCACTGAGAACTTGCCCCAAGTATTTCTAACTGGGGCCTCTGGGCCTAAGGCAGAATTGTACCTCTTGGCCCCCTTGTGGCTAGATGAGGCCATTAACTAGAACTGGGTAACCGTACGTGGAAGGCGAATTTCACTTCCCTGGGAAATAAGGGTGGCTGATACATATGTAGTCGTTGCTCAACTCTGTATAAGTCAAGCTGGTTATGAATCTGACTTAGGACTAATACTTGGAGATCTCAGGAAACTTCAGACTGACATTGATGGCGGAAAGTGGTAGTACATTTTTGATGTCCATTTCAGAGCTTTTAAAATAAATTATCCAAGTAAAGCTGCATTAAGAAGCATGTCAAAGTAGATAATATGGGTTCAGGAATACATCCCTATAAAACAGCAGGTGTGCTATTCAGTAACAGAGAGAAATGCTACTCCATTGCCAAGACAAGTTCTTCATAAAGCTACACACATTTGTATCTGATGATTTTTCACTAACAAACTTACTTTAGTTAATATTTTTTTCTAGTGACTGGTATAGAGTTTAACACTGAACAGGACTCTTCATAAAGTATTGTTAACTCACAGTGAGACAGAAAGATAAAAATGATTATTTGTATGTGTGTGTGTTTTTTTTCACTGTTCTTTTTATTTCTTGATTTGGCTGTGTAACTGATTCTAAATATTGTCTGCAAATGATTGGATTAAAAAAAACATTGCAAAGATGTAAATACAAGCGTGGAATTTCACTAACTTAGGTATAAAATAGTGATTTAATATGTTATTAAACTAACAGCACTGATTAGTAACAGTATATGTTATTCAACAATATATACCTAAGTTCAGTACTGAAAGGTTTACTAGATCTTTCTGTTCCTTGGTGATTCTTTGTCTCTTTCCAGATGTTAGATCATGTCTGCCTATTTGGAGGGAAGAAATAGTCTCTACCCCTGATGTTTCAGTGATATCTAATATAAAGCTTCTATTTTTCTTCTAACAGATAAGAAGCATTGTGCATATTTTTTAAATAAAACAAATTTATTTAACATATAAGAGGTTAAGAGAAAAACATGCTGAACTTCAAAAGGTATCACTGAAACCAAAGCCATGCCCTTGTTTCTATTTTATTTTCACCTATAAGGTATTTTCTAAAGGTCTATAAATGAAAATTGCCTTTACCCACTGGAAAGTTCTTCTCTGTAGGCATCCTGGCATTGTTTCCCAATTCCAGAATTACCCTCCTGGGCAGACTTACTGTGATGCTAAGGAGGCCTGAGCTTTCAGCGTCTCACTTGTACCAGCCTCTTCCAAGACCTCGAAGTGGTGGTACAGTGGGGGAGTGTTTGCACAGTTATGATTTTGATATCTGCAAGAGTAAGAATTTTAACCACGGTAGGTTAAGAGCAGGTCTTTATCTCATTCCAGTTTTCTCTTTGCCACACTACTTGTTTAAGTTGTGTGAGAGAGACCACAGGCATTTTGAGGCTCTAGCTAAGGGAAAGTTGACATGGGGATACATTTAATTTGGATGTGTTAAAATGTATTTTTATGGATTCACACTCCCCTTCTCTCACAGTTAAGTTGTTGCTAGTCATCATAGTGTAGAACGGCTTCCAAGAATTTTCCCAACATCCACTTTGCCAGCTCATCAGTATGGTGGTGCAAAGGTGCAGCGTCAGAGGTTGTGACGTGATAGGTTCCCGGGCGTATGTGTGTGATAGAGCAGAATCAAGGCTTAAATCTATGGAGTCAGAAACTAGTCTGTAGAAAGCTCTTTCAATTATTAGACATAAAATTCCAAGCTAAGAATGTGCTTTCTTATTGATGTTGAAGGGTCCAGAATATGCCACAGTGCATAAAGGACTATTTTGAGTTGAAGACATTTGAGAATCAATAGCTGCAGAAAGAGGCTTTTTCTAAACCCTGTCTTTTTAAAAGCAAAGCCTCCTGCAAATAATTCCATTGTTATAAAGCCCTTCTCTGTGAGTTTCACAACCACAGAGGAGCAAGTCTTAGCATTGAAGCAAATAAGTCAGCACAAGGTAGCACCTGGATAGAGAAACAGATGCTGGCATAAAACTGTTATATCTATCATTTATTCTCCCAAGGTCCATTGGTCTTCCCTTAAAGTCATTTGTTTTTTCCAGACATGCCCTCTGACCTCCCCTGAACTCTATTAAGATGACAAATAAGCCCCAAATTCTGACTGCCTCCTTGAATCACATTTCTTTGTCAACACCCATGTATACATACATAATTAAATCTGTTTTTCTCTTTTGCTAATCTGTCTTTGCCAGTTTAATGGCAAAATACCTCTCAAGAACATAACCTAAACTGGTAGAGAAGAAGGTTTTCCTCCCTGACAATGTCTAATGAAAGCAAAAGTCCTCTTTTATCAGGAATTACCCAATAATAAGACAGCAGATATACTAAAAAAAACACAGTATTATTTTGAGTGTGTTTGTTTTTTAAACACAAATCATACAAATACAAAATTTACAGGAATCCATGTTGGAGGGTCCAAACATGTAGTAGCAGTACTGTAAACTGTTTGCATGTGTGGTCATAGGTCATCAAGAAGGCTTACTAGAGGCACCCAGCACATGCTTCTTCCATACACAAAAAAAGAACAAAAGAGTGAGTAGATAGCCACACGTCAAAATAGAGTATCTAAGGGAGAACACTAGAATTCAATAAGGAAATAACAGGGACCCTCTGAGGCAGGGAAGTTCAAGATGGCAGCACAAACAGGGAAGAAAAGCAGATGGCTGAAATCCGCTCCGAGCCAGGAATGACTTCCCATTGCAAGAAAAAGTATGTAAAAGATCCCCAACAGTCTACATTCCCTCTATAGACACCTGCAATCCTAGCTACAGAAGACCTTCTCAGGCCCCAGGGTTCCTGTATAGAGAACTGCCTGGAATTAACACAACTACATTGCTTCAGAGAGAGAAATCATGCTGAGTCCCACCCTTGCCCTGAGACTCAAGCTGCTGCAGCTTGGCACTATTTTGAGAATGGAGCTGATCCCAGACTACATCCTGTCCAATAACATATGCATTTTTATATTCCTGATG